CAAATGTATATCTGTTATGTGTTGTGTAAGTCACGTGCCACGTATCGTTTGACCAAGCTTACTCCGTCTGTCTCTGTCTGTCTCAAGGCCCACTGTAAGTAATAACTTAGTAAAGGTATGTTCAACTATACTTATTTTCTGTGTGACAAAATGAGATATGTTTTCTGAAATGATATGTTCTGTACAATGAATGATTGTCCAATTTCTTATATGTATTCGTGACATTCTTAGCCTCAAACGATAACTGTTATCTGTTCTGTTACGTCCCTTTACGGGTCAACTGTACGTCTCATGAGCCAACTGTTATAGATCCTTACGTCCCATTTATGGGTCAACTGTACGTCTCATGAGCCAACTATATCGTCTCCGTGCACGTTGAGTCAACTGTATGCCTTTATGACCGTCCTTTATGGGTCAACTGTTTCTGCTAGTGCTAAGAATGTAATCACGTAAACTTAAACAAGCTTATGATTTCTGTCTGTATATGATCTAGACAAGTTATGGTTTTGATACGAAACTGAATTATGAATTCTGAATTCTGTATGGACTCATTCATAAAACCCCTTTGCACTGTTATTATTCACTGGGCTTTCGCTCACTGTTTATATTATGTATGTAGGTGAGCTGGCGTGTGACCAGGGCCAGAGTTGACGGCCTTCTGTACTGTTTTGTCAGCCAACCATTGTACCTCCCAAGGAGGTTCCAATCAAAGTCTGATGCTATGGTTGTTTTTGTGTTCATGCTAGTCTTTGTATGTGTTTTGTAAAGACAGGTCTTGGGATGTAAATTTCTTGTAAATATTGGTGTCCTTTGACTGGCATGCTTATGTATATATATAAGTTTTAAAATCTTCTGTCCCATGTACGTTATCACAGCTCATTGGACCTTGTCTATTTTGTATTATTGCTTCCGCCAGCCCGTTATTATTTGCTAATCTGTTCAGAGGCCTTTGGTAATCCACGGATTACTGGCCGGTTACGGTGTTAAACCTACAGGGGCGGGTTTTGGGTCATGACCACTTCCCCACAATTCTCCACCTTGGGAAAAAATTCTTTATTCAAACTATATAGCGAGCAATCAATGCTACCAAGCTCCCGAAGGTGCTTACATATGCTCAAAATGGATTAAGCCCACACTCTGTTCGAATTTTAACTCCAATTATGTTCTTCTTCTACTAGGTTTCCTTTTGCTGGGAGAAATACACTGTACTTCTGACCCTAACCCTCTCTTGGGGATTCTCCATCCCAAGAGTCTTCTTCTGTGCAATTGTAAAATGATCAAACCGATCATACCACTATCGTGGTGTTTCTTCACTATAGAGAGATTTATTCTTTCCAATGAAATTTTTCTTTCCAACTACTCAGAACCTTCCAGGTTGAGATATATAAAATTTCTTCTTTCAAATCACTATTCTTTTTGGTGAATTTCCATTTGCAGCAAATTTCTTTATTTTTGTTTGGTAGTTGTACCAAATCCTAAGTCTTATTCTTGTGCAGATTATGTACTTCTTCTTCAACTAGCTTTTCTTACTCCGGTTTCTTCTTGGATCCTTCAGTTGTTGAGATATCATTCCTAACTGCTGGAAATGCATAAGATACAATATTCACGTTATCTTGCTGGTTTTCTGATCTCTTTATTCGACTTCCTCGTAGCAATAGACTCTGATTGCTATGACCAGTTCTTTTTCAATTCGTTCTTCTGAGTCTACTGGTGCATTTAAACTCCACTTGTTACGTTCCAACGGTTTTGTTCTGTTCACTGGAGTCTTCAGGCTTGAGTTTCTTAGGCATTTCAGACTCATTAAATGTGACATCTCGGCTAACTATGACCTTCTTCAATTCAAGGCACTAAAGCCTGTACCATTTTACTTCACGACTAAAGCCTAAGAATACTCCTTTCTTGGCTATAGGATCAAGCTTACTTCTCTGCACATGATAGTAAGTCGGACCACCAAATACATACAATTGATCATAGTTGTTGGCATACATACCGAACCATACCTCCAAAGATGTTCTTCCTTCATTCGCAGCAATCAGTTGATAAGACAACGGGCATATGTCACATCTGCCAGCTCAAAATTGCTTACCTAAACCAGATTGAGCAACCAGCGCACCTTTTCCAACAGAGTACTGTTTATCTGTTCTGTCGTTCCATATTGTTGTGAAGTTCTATATCGCACCTTTTCCAGTATTTTACTTTTTTCTGACAGAGCTCCTCTAACGGATTAGTAATGTGCTCTCTACCATTGTCTGATCTTAAAGTTCTTAATTTTCTGCCAGTCTAGTTTTCCATCATTTTCTTCCATGTTGTGAAGATGTTTCACAACTTCATTCTTGACCTTTACGACAAGACTATTCTTCAATAGATGTGACAAGACAATGCTTACCTTTTTTCGATGCAACTCTGGAAAGTCCCTATACATTGGTATGCACATAGTCCATCTTTTTTTCCATACAATGCTCTACAGTTTCAAACTTGACTTTAGTCTTCGTGCAATCTATGTCAACTTTA